TTTCCTTTCTTGCAATGTTTCAAACTGTTCTGTTGGCGAAGGACTTCTGAAAATGTCCAGATAGGAGTTGGTGGTTTAAAGGTTTCAAAGTGGTACCTCCATGATTCATACATTTTGGCAGATTTCTTCCGATTCCTGGCATTTCTTCCATCCAGTTTGATTTCTGTGTTATACAAAGAATTGTGAATCAATAGTACAGACTAAGTTTATACAACAATAAAGCAACCAAAAAGAGGTTTTGGCTAGAAACTTTATAATGTCCCTGAAAGTGTCTGCCAACATGGTGGCGTTGTTTCGACAAGTTGACAGTTTGAAAGTGAATTTTGGAGCACAAGCTGTTCCAGAGTGGGCAGGTTGGACCTAAACAAACAGAAGGTGACTCAGCATTATGGTGAGCTGTCACAAAGTTAGGTAAACAGGGTTTAAAAGTTGTGAATGAATAACTTTGATTTTCTGTGGTGGAATTTCAATGTTCGTCTGCTGGTACATGATAAAGTAAGACATAGAAACTGGCTGTTTTCTGAGACTTTGTTTGAGATAACTTTTTGTTTGTTTGTTTGTTTGTTTAATCAGTTTCAATATAATACAGATAGTGCATTAATGGGCACATTAATGGAACATGCTCAGACTTTTCATGAACAGTGAACTGTAGCAGCAGTATGCAACTTAAAAGTTTGAATACATGCGACAGTTAAGGACTCTTGTTTTATGGCACTGAAGGATTTAAAGCACCTGGTATGCCAACACAACACCAGCATGGCTAAGTGCTAATGACACTGAAGACAACACAGCTGCTGGTACTGATTAAGTCAGTTCATATGGCTATTTGAAGGGCTTTTATGAACAAATCAGTATAGATTCCAACCATGAGCCATTGGTTTGTGAACTCTTGTTTCGAGGCCCAAAGTTCGGCAATTCGGCTATCGCCATCTTGGTTTTTTTAGAGCCAGAAGTGACATTATTTGGATGAGAGGGTTGAGCTGTAGAGGAGCGAGGGGTGAATCTTACTGATAGAATGCCTTGACACCTTGCAGACAGCCTGTCACTCAAAGCAGCCCTGCATTTAATGATGTGTAACTTTAAGCATTAATCAAAGCATGAAGCGTTGACTTCGGCATTTCAGCAGCCACCGTCTTGGTGTTTTGGAGCCAAAAGTCGGTGGAGCTGCGGAAGAGTGGGGGGTGGATCTGACGGAGCTATAGAGACCAAAACTGCTTTTTGTACCAGACTTTAAGCAGATTTATTTTTGCTATAAAATTGGGCTGTTTAACATTGGAGTCATTGGGGATTGACTTGCTTCTGGAGCCAGCCTCAAGTGGCCATTTGAGAAACTGCAATATTTGGCACTTCCCCATCTGGTTCATTTTTCAGCCCTGGAGGTTGCTGTTTGAGTCCAGTGGAAAAGCAGGTCACATTTTTATGCAAATTGTGTCCCCTGGTTCTGAAAAACATGTCAGCAACATCAGCAAAACCACAACATTGGCAACAAATTTAAAATGACACATTGAGCTAAAGCATCTAACCAGGCTTGGGAAATATCTGTGTATGAAATATGATGATAAGATTTAACTTTATTTAAAAAACACAAGACAGAAACCTAAACTAGTTTATCAAGGTTTTATTGGGATCTTAGTTCAAAACTCAAATTGTGATCTATGAATGTAAAGTAGCTTACTTTAATCTGTCTGACCTTAACTTTGAGCTAACTCTTGTGAAGTGGAAATTTGCACAACATTATAAACTGGCATGAAGGCAGATCTGTAAGCACAACATGCCTGGGTGAAATCTTATTTGTGAATACCATCAGAGGCTTGTTTGATCCTTTATAGGTTCCTATATGGGGCCTTTGTTCCACTCAGCAAGACAAGTGTTTGCAGACAGGAAGTGTGTTTGCCCAGAGAGGAATTTTAAAGTCGCTTCAGTTTACTTTCTTTTGATTGTCAGCCGGTGTGAAGCTGTGTTGTCTTGCTGTGGTAAACGCTGCTAATCCACCAACACCACACTGCATAACACAAACTTTCCAAATCAAATGCAAATTAAAATTTGACCTCCAGGCTGGATAGCTTGTGTGTGGCCCTGAAGATTTATGTTTGTTGGGATCATATCCCTGCAGGAGCTGCAGCAGATGCCGAGGCAGCTGGTTACTTTAGCCACAAATTGAATTCATCCTCTGGGTATCGCAACCTTCACTAGGTGTCTATCTCCTCTCCTTACTTCCTACTTGCTCATTTCACAAGTGTTGAGGAAGTGACTGAAAGATCCTTTCTGTTTTCCCAGAAACATTTTGAAGTGCATGTTTAATTTGGAGCTCTTTATTTTGATGCACTCAACTCAAATATTTGCATAACAGCAGTTGATGGAAATGCACATTAATTTGCATTTTCTTCTGCATATTTTTTTTAAATTTGTTTAACGTTTGAGCTAAATTTGGATGTAAACCTGAGTGCTGCTGGCAGGAGAGTTGAGTCTTTACTCAGGTTCTCTGCAGAAGCGTTAATCCTCTGTCCCTGCTCCCTTTTAAGGGTAGAGAGAGACAGAGAGATGTATGGCAGCAGGAGGTGGCTGCTGAAACAATGTAACAGATCAAACCCTCCTCCTCCTCCTCTTCGTCCCAGGTCTCTGATGAACTTAGCAGTCCAGCAGCTTGTGTTCAAGCCTTGGTGGAATTTCCCGCAGCCTGATGTGACTGTCGCTGTCAGCAGGAGCTGCACATACACTCTTAATTCCTCTCTTTCACACACTTTCTCCATCCTTCTGCTCTCCTGTTTGTTTACTTGCCCCCTGATGGGATGTGGTTTGCATTTGCGGTGTGTGTCTCTCAGTGTGTCTGTGGATGTGAGCCCTGTGTATTTGTGTGCATATGCTTCTTTTTTTGCAAGCAGGTTTAGTGGTACTTTCCCTATGACGGCTCTCTTCTTTTTTTTTTTTTTTTTTCGATTTTGCACTTTACGGCTTCTCATCACGGAGAAAGTCGCTGAAGGGAAACCACAACAGATAGAAACTTCTGAGAGGCGGCGTCTTTAAAGGAGCAAATGTCCCTCTTCCAAGAAAAAGAAAAAGAGCGGGAGAGAAATGCTTTTAATTGTGAGCAGCGTGTGAGGTAAATGAGGGGAAAATGGGATTATTTCATCATGAGAAACAAGTTTTATGAGGGAATTCCTTGGGAAATGTCTACCATTCGAGATGCTGAGAAGCCTGTGCTAGTTATAGAAACTTCATCTGCACAAAATCTGAAGATGTTAAAGTTCTGCCGCGCAGTTTGACAGGAGGTACAGTGCAGATACACCTCAGGAAAAACACACCTTTACCACTTTATTATGGACTTTACATCTGACTACTTCTTGGCATTAAGGGACTCTTTTTTAAGTTGTAGACCCCCCATCCTCATGGAAGATCTTACATTTCTCAGGGGATTTTCACCATTCAAAGTCCTTCATGCTTCTCAGGCCTGCATTGCTTTTTTTCTTTAAATCCAGGGATAACAAGAAAAGTTTCAGGCAGCAGAGCAGCAGTTAGTGTCTTTATATGGGCTGGTACAGATTTTTTCAGGTCCCAGAATCTCAACTCAAGCCTAGCAGGAATAAAGATGTTCTTCCACGGCTGTCTGTGGAAATTTGTATCAAACGTACCCTCCGCACAGTGGGAAGAACCAGATCTCTTTTTTACTTCATGTCATTTTCCAGGTGCTGTCTGCTTCTTAGAGAGAGAGGTCTGGAAGGAAATCCTAGAAAGTTCGGTGACTGGGGGGGGGGAAATACATGCGTGAAGTTTTAAGGTATACTTGGGGTATTTGAATGAGTATTTCCAGGATAGAGTTTGGCCCTTAAACCTTCACAGCTTCTTCCATCCTCGAGTTCATGAGAAAAATTGATCCATTCGCATACGAAAGAACCTGATTCTTTCAGTAGAGTCTTGCTTCCATGGGGCAAAGCACTTGGAAGCCCAATGTGATTCACATCTTTCGTTTTTCGGCGCCCGGTGAAACCGCAGTAGCTGTCGAGATCAGTCTGTCGCCCGCCAGACAAAGCGTCGCTTATCAGTCGGCTTATGGGCTCTAATGAAAGACAAAGCGGCTGTTAAGAGGGTTAGGTGACAATACAAAAGATTATACGACACGCTGCTCTTCCGGGTTTAGAAACATAGTTGGGAAAGTGAACCCACCTGTTACTGCAACTGTCTTTATTCAGACTCAGTTCATAGTAAAAGTCATTCATTTTAAGTTCTGGAAAGGTTCTGTTTTGAGATTGTTGGGACTTATGTTGAGTGTGCTTTGTCTTTCCTAGTATTTTGTTTGTTATCTGTGTTTAAGTATTCCAGGAACTTGTGGCATTTTCATTTCTACATGCTTCTTACAAAAGTTCAAATGAGAAAAGTTCCAGCAGACATCTGAAAGATTGTGCATTGTCCATAATTTGGGGATTTGTCAGTGCAGTCTTTCACATTAACACATATTTCGTCTTCATGTCAAAGTGTTTGCTGGGATCATTTATGAATCCCATGGAGAAAGATCACAAATATTGTAGTTCTCCGTCCCACCCCGAGTGCCAAAGCTTGATGAAATATTTGTGTTTGAGTAGCGGAGATGTGCAGGGAGTGGGAAGTGTTTGGACAGCGCTCCCTGGCAGAGCATTAACCACAGACTGAGAGGCAGAGCAGTGCGCTGCATAGAGAAGAAGTCAGGTTAGAAATGACTGTCAGGATGAAGTAGTCTTCAGAAGCAGAGCCAAAAGTGCAACTGTCTCAATGAACAAATACAAAACTTCAGTTGTTTCTTGAAGTTTGGGACTTGAACTTATGAAGTTACATCAGAGTGATCCATGTTAGACATTAAAAAGTCCTGCGAGTTGAGTCTTTGCTACTGTAATTCATGATTTGCATTACTTTGGATTTACTGTACCAAAAGCTGTTAAACCTCGCCGTGTTGGATATGCACACACACCTCCTCTCTGTCTCTATTTCTTACACACACATTGACAGGATGTTTTGTTCTGTCGTTACAGATTTACACAGACTGGGCCAATCACTACCTGGCCAAGTCTGGCTGTCAGCGCCTCATCAAGGACCTGAGCCAGGACGTCACCGATGGAGTCCTGCTGGCACAGATCATCCAGATCATAGGTAGGCATCCAAATATGCGCCCACGCCTGTGTCTACTGTTTCTCTATTATCTACCTCTTCATCTATTATTCCATCATCTATCTCTCATCTTCCTCCTACAGCTTTCTGTTTCTCTTTGCGCTCGAGTAATTAAGTTTACACCTAAAATACATTCAATTGTAATATAATGGGATAATCATCATGACATATTTCTGTTACCAAAGCAGTATAATGTCTTACATCATGTGGAACTTCAGTGTTTAGAAAGAATATTAATAAAGCAAAGAGGAATAAATCCATGTCTTATCAGTAGTGATAAAACACTGCATGTCTATAATTCATTCGTTCTATCTGGTAGATGAAGCGACCACCCACCCACCCACACACACACACACACACACACACACACTCTATGTTTGGTCTTTGTTGTGGTGAGTTGGAGGGAAGCTGTTCCTCAGTCTGATATTTGGGCCAAATCGCAGCAGCTCTCTCTTGTTTTGGGTGCCGCGGCAGCAGAGATCTATGACTCTGACACCCTGGGGTGCAGGGGAATGTGTCTCGGATTGGACCCCAGAGAGAGTTTACTTCTCTTTCTGTCTCTCTTTCTGTCTGTCTCTCTCTTTCTCTCCTCTTTAATGTCTCTATGTCTCTCTTCAGTTCCGTCTGTCTCTTTCACTCCCTCACAGTGGAACTTTTTCTAGGTCTCTGTCTCGTCTCTCTCCCCCCTCATGCCTTTCGTTCCTCTCTCTAATCTTCCTTTCCCTTTTTCTCTTGCCTTCCACTTAACTAACAGATTACAGTAACGTGATTACACCCTGTCAGCAGACTGGTTAGGAACGTTTTGGTGCAGCAGCTGGAGGTGGTGGGAGGCAACCATCCTACACCAGAAAGGAAACATGCGTCTTCAAGTGCCTCTGAAGCTGGTTACCAAGTTATTTGCCTAATGCAGCACTTCCAGTGCATGGCACCAAATGACTCTACTCATCTCAAGTTATTCTTCTATGGTTTTGGTTGCATTTCAGTCAGGGCTCCAAGCAAGCTGAGCCAATTCTAAAAGGTAGAATTAAAACACTGCAGACCACTGATTGTTCAGAGAGAACCATCAATAGAAAAGCCACATGTGTGGCACGGAACTTCCTCCATAAACTCCCATTTTTTTATATGGCCATGCCACCATCAATAGCAGCCACAATATCTTATTCACGACCAAGATTTTTAAAAAATGGAAGCCCAAAACTACACCATACACTATGTACACTATGTCATACAGTTGACAAAGTGCAAACAATCCTCTTGGTTTCGGATGGAAGGATTCAGCAAGTGGTGCTTTAGAGATGTTTTCAGTGCAGTTTCATGAGTCGTTTCTAATACCGATCAGCTGAGAACCTGCCTGCACTGACAGGATACCATCTGCAGTGGAAGATGAAATAGAGAAAAGGACCTGGTACCAACAGTCGAGCAGAGCCATGCAGTGGAAATTAGGTACAACACTGACCTCACCAGAAAAACAACCACACGCTCAAAATAATACTTTTTTACTACCTTGGGCGTCTACATACAGAGAGGTGATTGCACGTTTGTTGGCACGTAGAGTCCACATGTACAGCCTGCGTAGTCATGAATTTTGGGCTGTGTGTGGATGAGTTGCCCTTGTAGGCATGCGCAGCTGACGAAATGTATGTCACCTGGACTCTTACTGCCACACAGATTAGCAATGATTGGGTTCAAATGCCCAAAATGACCTATGTTTACTTACTGACAAGGACCTCTTGAGGTTATGCAAATTGCAATAGTTGTGAGAAGCAAAGATGGAAGCAGCGTGACATTGAAGGTCTGAAAAATCTGTTAGGGAGGAGATCAGGGTGTATGGATGGGTCAGCGTGAGGGACTTTTTCACTGCCTCTTGAGGCGAAATTGTTTTCATCTTGGAGCCCACTGGCAATCAGTCTAAAAAAGATTTAGCATCTGAGGACAATCTGTTTTAGAGGTTCCGGAGTTGCCAGTGGACATCTGGGCCAGAACTTCCTCCTCCGTGTGCTCGTCAGTGTCTACAGTCTAATAAGAAACTTGAGCCATGAGAATGGAGTTGACAACTAGTTTCTATAAACAGAAGCTAATAAAAAAAACTTGATTGTTGTCAGAAGATAGAAAAATGGTTTTGAGATTTTGTTTCAGTCAATGCATTCCACCTCTTTTGCTCTCTACACAGACTGCTTTTTTGCATGCAACCAAAGCCTGCTCAGAAGTGATTGGTCAATACCATTCACACTGCAAACTGAAACGAGAACGCTTTCGATATCAAAATATTATACCGCTCCTACAGATTCTGGACACATGCAGATATCTATCTATAGAGAAAAACAAACAGTCAGCGTTGGTTTCATACAGTTTTAAATCCAACCCTGATCATAGAGGTGGGACACAACCGTGATATGCACTAATTGTACACATGCCAGATCATAAATTGGTCATATGGAGTCAGTAAATGCCTCCAAACTGACTGCTTATTGAACCCATTATCAATCGCATGGTAATAAATAATGACTAATTTTGCAACAGCACTGGCTCTTACGCAATTTGAGCTCTGTGTGTTTTCAGACACATTTCTCTCACGCATTCTTTTTCTTCTTCTTAAGTCTATTGTCTTTGCTCTCTCTCTCTCTCTCTCTCTCTCTCTCTCTCTCTCTCTCTCTCTCTCTCTCTCTCTCTTTCTTTTTCTTTGTGTCTCCATTACTGTTCTGATCTCTACTCTTTCTGGGACTCCCTCTCTCTGTTTATCACACTCTCGCAAACACACACACACATAAACACAAACACAATTTCCTCTCTCTTACATACGCTGCCTTTCTCACTGATGCTGCATGTCTCCCTAAATCTCTCTCATTTTTTTTTAACCCGTGACTAACTTCCTTACTCTCTTGTTCTCCCCAACTTCTCTCTCCCTCTCTCCCTCTCCCTGTTGGATGAAACTTTACCCTCCCCGCTCGCAGACAATGAGGCCAAGCTGGCCTGTCAGTAATTCTCTGGCGGCAGCTGACGAATTAGGCAGCTTTGCTTCCCAGACCTTTCCTGCATCTTTCTGCACCCACACACGCATACACATGCACATACACATACACATGCGTGTACATACATACACACACTCCCCTATGCTAACCTCAGCAGAGGTTTACTGCTGGATTTGTGCACCTGAACTCAAAAGTCATTGGACGTTGGGATGTTAAAGTTCAGCATGGGAGGACAGTAAACATCTCGTTTCTTCATTTCCTCTCTCACGCAGCGAATGAGAAGGTGGAGGATATCAATGGCAGCCCCAGGAGCCAGTCGCAAATGGTGAGTGTTTCAGCCTTACTTTTGTATTCAGCTTCATTCATTTTTCAGTGCACTGCTGTGTAAGAGAGAATTATCTGAAGTACTGACTGCTCTACTGTTAAGCTGTAATGATGTTTCACATGTGTAGCAACAGTAATGAACTTTCTAGACTACAGGGATTACAGGCAGTTAGTATTGACATGCAGAGATCACACTACATTCAGGTGATGCCCTCATCCACAGCTACTGGCAACAGCTTAACATCCCCTGACCGTCAATATTACAAACCTGTGATTGAAAATGCATTCCTGAATCACCTGGTAAGAGCTGGGGAGTAAAAAAAATGTACCCTGCTTGTTCTCAAGATTCTGTTTTGGATCCATTGATCAAGACATTAGACTAAGTTACAGCTTTACACATTACTCCAGTTATGCAAAGTAACTAAGTACATTTACTCAAGTACAACTGTAAGATACTTGTCATTTACTTGATTATGTCCAGTTTTTGCTTCTCTATAATTCTACTTCACAGCATTTCAGAGGGACATATTGTACTTTTTACTTCAACACATTTGTTTAACAGCTGCTGTGACTATGTCCCTTTTTGGATTTAGATAATCAAATGAGCTGCTATAATACAATGCATTGTTAAACCAGTGGCTCCCAGCTTACTTGACTTGTGACTCCGTACAAAGCAGTGTCTGTGTGGGGTGTCTTGTCAGATTTGTCTGAGTTGTTAGCAGTGCCAGCAAAGAGAGATTCTCCCTCTTAACTTCTCAGATGGTTTAATTTTAATTAACTGTTTGAAACCCACAAAGACAAATTATCCAATATTTCACAAAGTTTAATTTAAATTTAATAATGATTATAGATTTATGGAGCAAAATCTTAACGTATTTATTTCTTTTTTAAGCCCTGTCAGTTATTTTGTGACTCTTTAGATGTATCCTGTGACTTTTGAGTTGGCCGACCCCTTGGTTGGGAACTACTGGACAAAGCTACCTAAGTTCTACTCCACATTAACACAAGTATTTCTGAGATTGAATTTTTTTTTTTTTTTTTTTCCAAAAAAAAAAATCCATTCCACACAAGCAGTGTTTTAAAAGAATCTCAGTTCAACACAACTGAAGAGCTGTCAAGAGTATGACAAACCCATAGGCAGCAACCCAACCCTCATTGCATGTTGGCCAGTGATGGAATAAAGTAGAAAAGGAATATCTGCCAATCAGAAGCTTAAAAGAGCTGTTACCAAAAGGCTACCTGGAGAAGTGACCTCTGTAACATACTCTCACACCTCTGTTCCTCAGTATAGGAGAAGAGTACTTGTACATATATGTGTAAACATGTAAAAAGTCCTGTTAGCAAGGTTGGAACCAGCACTTTCTTGTCCATGTCCGCCACCATCCTGCACAAAATGTCACCTCATTTTTAGTGCCTTGGATGACAGCACATACTCTGACTTTAGGAACCAAAAATGAAGTTTTCTCTATCTACATGCCGCACTGAAAACATCATCACCTTGGACAGTTTTAGAAAAGGAAGGTCTGTTTTCAGTGACCTAAAACGCAGCTTGTATGTGGCCAAAAGTCTATGCTACTTATGCATTGATGCATCAGTATAAACAATGCAGTAGTTTACAGCAATGTCACATACCTTGGTCATTTTCCAGCAAAATGTGTCTGTTTCATTGTATTATATGATAATATCTTTGTACTTTTACTTCAAGGAATACTTCACCTGCAAACTGACCATTTGTATATCAAATACTCGCTGCATGTTGCCTTGAATTTATGTAGAAAACTCAGATTTTACTGCATGCCTTTACTGTGAACAGAGAATCAAAAAAAGGCAACATTTTTAATGGATTGAAGTCAATAAGTTCAACGTTTAACAACAGCATATCTATATCAAAACATCAGTTTACAAACTCTCACACAACTAGTGCAATGTTATCCAAGTCTCATTTATCCAGTCGTGTCCTAAATACTTCGCAAAAACATGCATATGATCAAGAATGTTACCTTTTTGGATTCTCCGTTCGCCACGGAGGCATACCTGAAAAACAAAGTTTTCTTCACAAATTCAAGGTAACACACAGTGATCATTTGCAGGTGAAGTTTTATGAGTTTGAGTGCATGTAAGTCTTTTAATGAGGTATTTTTACATAGTTGTACATTTAATCAAGTAGAGGATCTTAGTACCTCATCTAACACCGACCATGCACCCTCACCTGGGACCACCTTAATGAGCACCTTGTACTGATTCACAGTCAGAGAAAGTTTACAGTGGTCAGAAGGGACAAAATTTTAAAGCACACAAAGACTGAACCCTGTAGTGTATCTATATGAGGTTACATATCACAAGACAGTGTCACAGTTGAAATCGATCATCTACCAAAGACAAACTGTCACTCGTTGCTTTACATGTTAACTGCACACCATGATTGTAATCAGCCAACGGTAACGACTGTTTGCAAACCATCATCATCTTTACTACTCAGAGAGGTGATGACTGTACTAACCACATCACCACTTAACCAAAAACACAGTAGAGCCCCGAAAAGTTCAACCCATGGCCTACTGTACTTGACTTAATATGCCGCTTTCAATCATCTGTATATCTGGCTGCCAAGCGGCTGAGCGATGCTGGCGGTGTCGTTTTCCCCTCTGTTAATGAGATGACGGGCTGTATAACCGCTGATTGTCGTCATTGTGAGATAATTGCCCCTCACTTTAACTAGAGTTGACTAAGTGTTTATGCAGTGTTGGTTTGCCCTGGCATCTGCCCTCCTGCCATTAAAAGTGACTAAAGCTGTTGAGCTGCTTTAGTAAGACACTGTGGGCGAGGAGTGTGTGTTCGGTCCTGAGAGCGTGTCAGTCTCTTAGCTATTTTCTTTAAGCTGTGTTATGTGTACGTACGGCTTACTGTGCAGCTTTTTTACATTTATTGGAGCAGTTTCTCCCTGCACCATACACATTGTCCTCCTGTTATATGTCAGTATTTCAGTGTTTCTGCTGGTTTGTAGAGAAGTCAGTAGATTTGATGAATTCTCTAAGGAGTATCAGGGGAGTCTTTCCAAGAGTCCCATCAGTGAAATAAAGCAGAAAGTGTTTTACTACTGCTTTCACACGTTCATCACAGTAATCAGCTTTTTTCCTCCATGGTAAGTCCAGCTGCAATAGGAGCAGACTGTGCACTTTGTTAGAAAAACAACATTACAGAAGCAGGAAGGAAGAAAATATCAAGGTCATGTCAGTCCCCTAATGTCACTGTGGGACCTCAAAGTGTCAAAGCCTGTTGTGGAGAAATAAACTCATGTGCATTTATTTATATAATTTGTCACATTAAGTAATTCTAGTCCTGGCTGGAAACAGCTGAGTCCAGACTGACGCACTCGTCGCTAAGGGCGAGCAGCAAGCAGCACTGCAAGCATGTGGCTTGATATGCCAGCAACCTCTGTGTGGGTTTGTGTGTGTGTGTGTATGTGTGTGTGCAGCTTGCTCTTTGTCTCAGTCACTTACTAAGCCCATTGATCCACCACCTGCTCTGACCACGGAGGGTCCGGCCAGCTTGGGAAACTGAAGTTTGAGGAAGCACGGTTGCTTAAAGTGTGGGCGCAAAGGAAGGAAACATCTGACACATACAACAACACATAACATCCACAAAGACAGCCAGCCAGCAAAACCAATGTTTGGAAAAACCATGTACTGTCAAGAAAGCGATCTTATAGGGCATCTGTGAGAGGAATATTTTCATAGTGATTTGGTAGCCATGGTAACACATGTACACAGCAGTGCAGATATTTTTCTTAATCAATAAGGACTTGAAAAGGAGTTTAAAAGATGTGTGCTTGTGTTCTGCTTTATTTTGCCAATGCTTAATTAACAAATAAGTGATGCATAGTAACCATACAGCAACTATCTCTGTTACTGTCAGTGAAACTTCTATTTGGTCCTGTTTTTGGTTGTAATCATTCATAAAAGGAGGTTGAGTTGCGACACATAAACTGCAGCATGACTTGCTGTCAGTCAGCAGAATTTGATTTCCACTGCTTCCATGTGGCGCTGATGATGCAAGATGACAGTTGCCAAAACTGACTTTTCAGTCTATGTGACTTAAAGGTAAACTATGTAGGATCGTCGATTACTGTTTGTAAATGCACTCGCCAGTGAAAGTGAAAGCCAACCCCATTGGTGTAACGTTACGAAACACCAACCCCATTGGTGTTTCGTAACGTTATATTTGATTTTTTTTTTTTTTTTTTTTTGGCATTTTGTTACCTTAACACCTTCTGTTTACAGTCTGGCACCTGACCATGATCAGTCTATACAGTGTTTTTAGGAAAATCCTGCATTGTATACCTTAAATGTATACATTCAACACATTCTCACTCCCAACTTATCAAGACTTAGTCAGTGGCCCTACACTTCAAATCATGACACTCTAGGTACCCCTCTAGCGTCACTTGTGGGTGTGTCAGTTTCTTTTAGTTAAATGCATACAATGTGTTTTCAGAATAAACTTCCAGCTATTGTTTAGCAACCAAAACTGCTTGGTTAGGGTTAAGAAAAGATCATGGGTCGGGTTAAAATAAGCAACACATTCTCACTCCTACCTCGTCACATATTGAGGTTTTGGTCATGGACTTTCCACGTCCACATACGACGTGCAAGGTACTCTTTGCTTGTGCTTTGCTTGTTGACGTTCTGGGACACCGTATCAAGTTCTGCCTGTTACATGCTTCTTTCAAGATACACTTCCGTTTTCACAGGAAATAAATGCACTAAGTCAGTACAGCACCACGGATTGACTTTTTTTTTTCTCCCCTTCAACAACAAACACATCGTTGGGTTTAGGCAAAATATAACAAACAAACAAAAAAAACCCCACAGAGTTAGGTTTAGGCAACAAAAACACAAGGTTAAGTTTAGAAAAGGGTTAAGTGCAACACACACCGCTGCCATACGCCACACGTCAAAACGCCCGCCTCCATTATATTCTATGAACAAAGCCACACTGGCG